ACAACATCCCAGACTCCGTAATCCGATTTTTGTAAAAATATTTTCATCCCCGCCTTCCAAAATTGATAGTCTTCACCTTCAAACAGTGGTGGTCTGTTTATTGAGGCTCATTCCCTATAAACCTGATTTTGCATAGACATCTTAACAGATCGTTTAAAAATAATTTATCTAACCAAGCTTTGATACCACTTGTTAGACAAAGGGAATCTAGAGGGAAGGTGAATAGATGCACAAATTAAATTAGATTCCAAATTAAAAATGTATTTTAGATGTCCAATAATTTTTTAATTCAATTTTAATTATCAGATAAAATACAGATAAAGCGAAAGCGATATAATCAGAGAGATAAAGGGAAGGAAATAAGTAGATGTAAGCATAGATGTATAAGGAAGAGAAAAACACACAAAAATTTATATTGTTTCGGGTCAAGCCAACCTTACATCCAATGCCTTGTCTCCTATAATACGAGAGACAACCCAATTCACTATCTTTAAAATTCAGTTTACAAATTACAATCAACCTTGTAGAAGAACCATTAAAAAGTAAACTAATTAAAAATACAATCACCTCTCTAGAATCCCACTAGAGATAAACACCTCCTCTGAACAAATCAAAGGATGAATAGTTCTCACAAAGGAAACTCACACCTCTCAAGAATCACACTTGATATGAAATACCTCCTTTGTAACCCACAAAGGATGAACACCTCCCCGAACAAATCAAAGGGATGAAAACACCTCCTTAGAATCCCACTAAGGATGAACATCTCCCTGAACAAATCAAAGGGATGAAAACACCTCCTTAGAATCCCACTAAAATGAACACCTCCCTGAATAAATCAAAGGGATGAAAACACCTCCTTAGAATCTCATTCAAGATGAACACCTTCCTTGAACAAATCAAGGGATGAACAGTTCCTGACAGTATAAACTCCAAACACAGAAGCACACTAATCAAGAGACATAATCAATAAAATAAGAACATTCACACCTAGTAATGGGGACAACTAATTGTAGAAGCATGTAGAATGTCAACCTTCAAGAACAAGTGTGATTAACAACAAAAGCACAGAAGACAGTAGAGAAAAGAGTTTTCTCAGAAAGTGTAAAATATCTATATTGCCTTGCTCAGAATGAATTTCTTAAAATTGAATGTTTGTAAACTGTATTTTCGAATTCTGTGATTGTGTATTTTTTATTTTTCATCAAAACTCATTTAAATAGGAAAATAACATCAGAAAATAGTCGTTAGTCATTAATAATTTCGTAGAGAAAAATAAGGATGTATCCAAAAATATTTATTCTTCAAAAATTGATATATTTTTCAAATTTAAACTGCCATAATCGATTTTGTTAATCGATTTTGTTACCAATATAATCGATTATGACAGAAAGAAAATCAATTTTTCATTTCTGATACATCATAATCGATTATTACACTTACATAATCGATTATGTGACTTATATAATCGATTATGTCATTTATATAACCGATTAAGACAATAAAAAATGTCATATTATGTTTATTTGATGATATAATCGATTATGACCCTCACATAATCGATTATGACAGTTAAAATTGTTATATTATGAAATTTTATCACACTTGTGCCTTTTGAGGCTTATGCATAATAGCACTTCATCAACTTGTACCTCCATATTCAGTATTCTAACACTCTCTAGTCTTCATGAATCATCTTGGGCTTGCTTGAATCTTGAATGGTTTGAATTGTATCTTCATCAATATCATATCTTGAGCTTGCTTGAGTCTTGAATGGTGTTGAATTGAATCTTCATAAAAATCATCTTTTGGGAATGTAAGGACATGTTTCACATTACCATCAATCTCCCCCTCATTGCTTTCAATCTCCCCACAGTGCTTTCAGTTTGTACCTTACTTGATGTCACACTAATTAACAAATTTTGTACATCTTATCGAGTTATACAAGTTACAAATTTTGTATCTTACTTGACTCAGGGGTACATAAATGAGTGAATGAATTATATACCTTATTTAATGTTATATGAGTTATCAAAGTTTGCATTTCAATTAAACACCTTACTTGGTATAACCTAACTCAGCTAGCATGACATATTCAAAGTCGACAAAAAGGCATAACCTAACTCAGTTAGTATGGTACATTCAAAGTCAACATGAAATAAGCTTACATAATCGAAACATAGATCATATACAAAATACAAAGTTAACCTCCAAACTACTAACTGAATAATAATTTTAGAATGTAAACTCGTTCAACCTCAATCTCTAAAAGGGTTTGGCCTTAGAGCTTAAGAACTTGTGTATCTACTTAACTAATATTTGTTAATAGGTAATATTGTATATTTGATCTTTATTAAAAATATATTTACATTATCTCAAATAAGTTATAATTTGTATTATGTTATCAATTTATCTTTATCTTGTGGGCTTTATATAAGAAGACCGATCAAGGAGTAACTCTCATCTTGAATTTCATTCTCTAATCTCATAACTCTCTTGTCTCTAAACTGACTTGAGTTTTAAAGTAGGGATGACAAAACGGGTCAGGTTTGGCGGGTCAGCCCGCCATAATATGGCGGGGCAGGTTGGTGTTTTCAGCCCAACAGCCGCTTTGGCTCGCCCGTCAACCCGCGGGACGAGAGCGGGCCAGCCTGCGGCCCGCCTAATTAATAAAAAAAATAATTTTTTATTGTAATAAAATTAATTATAAAGATAATATATAAAGTTAAAATTTTTAAAAAGAGAATTAAGAAAGTTTCACTCGACGAGAAAATATTTTCCTTACTGAAACACAACATTCTCTCATGTTCTCCTTGTTCATCTTAAGCATTAATTATTTTTATCCTTATGACTTGAATTAAAGGTGTAAGAATTATTCAACCAAGAATAATGTGAAGTTTTATCAAATAAAAAAAGATATAGGTATTTGATTTTTCAATATAAAAAATATAAATTTTACAAGTTTTAACGTTATATATATATATATATATATATATATATATATATATATATGTTATTATTTATTATTATGTAAATTTTATTATTGTTCTAAATTATAATTTCTTAAAACAATGTATTGATTTATATTATTAAATTGAAATAATATATATATATATATATATATATATATATATATTGAATTATTGGCAAACAAATAATAATCTTATTATTAAATTTATTAAAAAAAATTATTTTAAAAAATAAATTATTTTTTTCTAAATTATGGCGGACGAGTCCGCTAACCCGTCCTTGACGGGACGAAGCCAAAGTCTATCGTCCGTCATGACTATAACTGGTCGAGTTCGTCCCCTCTGCTTTGACGGGTCAAAGACAGGATGAGCCAAAACAGAGCAGGTTGACCCGTTTTGTCATCCCTATGTTAAAGTTTTTTTTTTTTTTTTTCAGGTGGATCTATGATTGTTTCTAACAAAAATACTTTCATCCAATGTTTGGTAACACAACTCTACAACCGATATCATAGAGACTCTTGTCTGCCTCTACAATTTGATAAGAACATGTTTAATTCTATATTTTTAGTTAATATGATACTGGTTACTTTGTTGATTTTTTTTCGCATTAGATTCCTTATCTTTGATTTTTTTTCGCATTAGATTCCTTATCTTTAGGCTTCCAAAATGAATATATGATTGGTTGTCTTTTGAAGTTTCTTACTGTTTTATATGATTTTTTAAGATTAGTCACATTTATTGGATTGTTTCATGGGGAGGTGGGAAACATTTGTAATTACCCATTAATTCAAAATCAAGGTTTACCTGTTTATCACTTTTGAGAGCTTTTAAATTGATTGATGAAACTCTCATTAACATAATTGGAATAAACACTTTTTCTAATTTACAAAATTGTACTCTCTTATTAATAGCTTAAATGTCCAAAGATTAATTCTTTACTATAATTCGACAAATTGATTTGAGGTTGGTTTACAAATCACTTGAATTCATTTTATCATTGATGAAATTGAGATCTACAAAATGATTAAAGTCGAAAAAAATTATTTAACTAAACCAAATTCAATTAAAATCAATGGGTTATTCATGATTAAAAAAATCATCAAGATTAGTATTTTTAGTCAATTTAAAAATAATTTAATAAACGATAATTGATCATTTAATCAAATAAAATTAATCTAATTTTCTCCATTGAAACTATTTTATTAATTTTTTTCTTAATTTTGTTTGCATTTTTTATTCATTTTGAATATGCAAATCTTCCTACTTTTGTGTTTTAATTATTGATGCACAATTATATTAGATAAATTGTTAAAAATCAATTGGTTTTAATAATTAAACCTAAAATTGACTAAACCCCTAACTACATTTTGTTTTAAAATAATAATAAAAAATTCGATGCATAATATGGCCTAAACATCAAAAGCTTCAACTAGATTATCTATTCCAAGTGTAAGAAAGCCAAAATATGATTTTGTAGTAAGTTCTTACGGTAAACGAATTCCTATATTCTCAAATCATAATACCTTCCAAAATACTCATACCAGCACACCACCATTGAACAACAAACAAAACATAATCCACCAACTTGATGGGTTGTTGTAAGATAATGTGTTTTAATCTTCCAAAACCACTTAAATTGATCCACAGCCATCATCAACCCACCATCATGTTTATTTTGAAAAACAATCCAACCTAAAAAACCTATCATGTTTATTAATTATAAAAGAATTTTTTCACACTTTGTTAACGAAACTGCCAATATCAGATGGTGAGATGGTGTCATAAACTATATGCAGTATATTAAAGCTTTAGTTGATACAGAAAATAAATTGCATTGGTATTCTTCAACATTATTCCGCCATCTCTTTCAACTTAATTGAATGGTTTAAACAAAGAGTAGAAATTTCATCATCATGATACTTCAATAGAGAATACTGTTGGTTATCTTGACAATCAAAGCAGTGCACAACACAAGCCAGGCTTTCCCAATATCGATCTTGAATTGTAAAAACAATATATGAAAATCTTGAATTACTTCCTTCCTCGGCTAAGCCTCTGCAGTTGATAATTGATACTCCCCCAAGACTTTCTGTTCTTTTTACTCTGAAATAACAAAATTGAAGCGACTTTTTTTTTCACTAATTAATTCTAATGTAATACGGTAAAAGCAACTAAAAATGTGAAACCTAAGAAAGTTGGTGGGGCAACAAAAAGATGCTAGTTTTCATTAAGAGTATGTCTGTTACCTGGGAGTCCATACAGGCATTTAGTAGCTCCTTCTGGCGAGCACAGGCTTCCATGTCGCTATGGTTTGCAGCCATACAATTGAGAAACATTGCCATTTCCTTCATGCAAGGTTTATGAAGTGAACCAAATCTCTTGGGGTTGATAAAAAGCGTATTAGCTTTCCGACCCATTATCCTGCAATTTCCCGTACATCAAAGAAAATGGCAATTTCTTTTTAAATTGATACAAATAAATAAACAAGTAACTAAAAACTTTATTTACTTTTATTAAGAAAAAAAAACTATATATCAAGAAAAGTTATAAATGAACGGTCAACACAACACTAAAAACAGTCTAATGCAGTCGGTCATTTGATCACCAATCTTCCTATTATATATGAAGCATAATCCTGACCACAATCTTTATGAAACATTTATAACCTTGGCTTTCATTACCAAACTTTACCTTGATTACTTATTTATTTTTGAATTAAACTATACATTGAGATTTTAATCATAGAAAGAAATTACTTATGGTCTTGTTATTGATGTAATAGAACATCGTTAACAACCTTTAAAAAAAATACATCACAACCATGATTATCAAAATCATAACTCGACTCATAAACTCAGACATGTTTACGTTCCCACATCCTTGAACCTAGTCAACTCAGAATAATGTTCGCGTAGGCTCATGCATGTTTATCAAACTCGACAGTCTGACTAGTCGCAACTCATGGACTCTAGTAGACTCGACTTTGATATCATACCAAGGTTTAGCAGTGCCCAAAACATCTACTTCATGTTTCCATCCAATATGTACACCATTTAGCCATTGGCTTTTGGCCTTTTCACAGAAATACAGGAAAAACCGAGAGTGCAAGCATAACATAGTCAAGTAACATTTTCGCCAAAAGTTCAGTCATTCAATCACGCCCAAAATTTTAAACAGTTAACTGAGACTAAAACACCACCATTATATGTTCTCCTGTCTTCCGTTCTACCATTCCCATTTCTGCATTAATCAAGACAGCAAACAAAAAATAGGTCCGCTAACAATGAACTCAGACGCACTCACAGACCAAATCTTGTAGTCTTACTGAAACAAAAACCTAAAGCCTAATCCAAACTTTCACAAGATCATCCCACCCCCAACCAAAATTCAAATTTGGAGAAGCAACCATGACACCACAATTCCCTATAACACTGATATGTGAAAACCAAAAATGTTGCCAATATGAGAACTCAACATCAACATGAGTCTCACGCTGCTCCCTCTAGAGGATCAACTGTATCCACACTTCAAAATCCAAACAGACCAGAAATTCCCAAATCCCACGGAACAATGCGGAATCCGAATTACACAATCCGTGATTGCACGAAGCGCGAAACCAAACACGTGGTTCCTCGCTCCCCGAAAAAGGAGGCAACAGAGGATGGTAGCTGCAGTTTGAGATTGAAAGAGAGACCAGTGAAAAAAAAAAAAAAAAAAAACAGGTATACAAAGAAGTGGAAGAACCAACCTAGGATTTCGGAGACGAGAGCGTTGATGATACGACGACAACGACGATGGAGGGATCGCGGTTGAATGGCGAAATGGTTAGAGAGAGAGAGAGGATGAAAACAGGGGAAGGAGAGAGAGGTTTTTCAAGGCTCGAATTGAATTTGACAGAATTAGGGTTTTGAAGAAATAGATATCTGAATATAATAACACCTAAGAGAAGAATAGAAATAAACGTAAATTACATTATTAGTTAAATACAAGCTATTACTTAAATTATAAATTTTATTAACTAAAAAATAATGTTTTAACTCTTGTCAATTGACAAAATGAATTTAGTCCCTTTTTATTTCTTCTTAATTTCATAGCTAACTTAACATTATAGCTTTTGAAGATTTGATTGTGTTTGGATTAAGTAAAGATTTAGAGTAGATATGAGTTTAGTTTAGATCAAACAAAAAATTTGTAGATTTGAAGAGATGTCAGTAGATTTATTGAATTATCGTTAATAAGAATAAATATAAAAAAATTAAATAATAATTTTTTTAATTAAAATATTTTTATTATTATAATTGATAAATGAAATAGAAATGATAATTATAATATAATTAAATATAAAAATATTAATTAATTTATATTATACATAATATTTAAATATATTAATATTATTTTATATATCAATTATAATTAAAATTATTTTATATATTAACTATAAAATATTTTTCCTCGTAATTTAAATTATATATATAAATTTTTTTATATTTTGAATGAATATTTAACAAAATAAAATTGTACTACCTTAATTATATTTTGATATTTTTATTTTACATTAAATACAATAATTAAATAACATTAAAATAAAATACAACATTGTTATTTAATGTGCAATAGTATTAAATAAAATAATTATAAAAAACATTAATTACAGATCCTCCAAATAAACAAATTATACACTCATAAGGCATTTTATTACATTCATCAAATAAAAAAAAGTAAAAACAAATATAGTTGAGTCATCCAACAAGTTAATTATAGTATAGTCATCTAACGTGAAGGATGTGTCCTAGTATAACAACTGGGTCACTACCGCTCATGTGCTTCAACAAATAATTTCGTTATAAGTGTGGTGGGAGGCCAAAAGTCATCTCCTTATGGACGAGGTTTTTGCAAATAAACTCATAGTATTGCAGCTGAAGGTGATTGTCTATAAGGTTAAGCTCACATAACATTTACCGTATATATGATGCAGAATAATGTGGTGTACCAGAGCTCCTCTAGATGATAATGTGTTTACTGTATAAGTCTGTTCGCCGACGCATGTCGACGACTTGAGCCTCTACAACAACAACCTGCCGCTCTATCAAGTCTATCAACTTAGTTGAATATTTGTTACTCTCCCTCATCCTATCCACCATTTGGTTCAAATTATGAATTTAGATTAACATCGACCATGTGGGCTTTTCTCTTGGAACCCCTAGATGAAGAGGTGTCACCGGATGGGACAGATGGAGAGACGTCAAAACTGTATGAAGTGACTTGCGGAGGACTAGGTTGCATCTCAGTAAATGAGGGAGTGTAGTCCTAGTGGAGGAAGGAATTTGTTGCATCTTCATTTAGGTCAACGCCCAAGTCGACTATGAAACCACGTCGTTGTCGAACTTGTCGTGCGGTCCCGGTCATGTGCCTCGTGACACGATGAACTCTCCATAGCTCTTCCAACAAGTCATAGACCTTAACGGAGGTGACCTACCATTTGGCAGCATATAGAGAAAAACATTTGCACACACGTTTAGACATTATTGGCTATTATAATTAAAGTGTAAATAGTTACTTCAACATTAATATCTGAATCAAGTCTTGCTAGACTTTAGGTTCAACTTCAAACATTCTTGTGGCCTCGTTCCATACAAAACCGTTTAGGCCACTAAATAGATTGTGGACTTCACACTATCGATCTTTCAAACTTTTCTATATGTTCTTGACGTTATTCTTGTTAATGCAAGAATAACTAGCCTGTCTTAACACTTCTGAAATGTTTGTATAGGCCTAGCTAGTCCAACTGCCATCTATCCTATTATCAGTTTGAGATTTGTCAATCATGGTAGTTAGCAATTGCAAATCCATAACTTCATTCCATTTTGTAAACTCCCACATGTTATGGCTTGAATCAACCTGTCATTTCCCTCTATTCATTGTTAGCTTGGAAACAATTAAGTTATGGTAGTTCATGTCATTGTTATTATGGTTGGAGGCAATAATAATTTCTACATTAAACAAGTGATGATCATACTACATTATAGATTGTCAATTATACAGAAAAATACATGAAAATTAAGAAAATCAAGAAAACATAATGGATAAAACATAATTTATTGTTCATAATCATGCCACGTTTGGATTGTTATTAGATGCCTTAAGTTAGCCCCTTCCTTATAATCATCCTCTTGAATTTGTGTTGCAGACCTATCATCCACGCATTCTTCTAATTCTTAGTTCATTTCATGTAGAAAAGATTCATCATTATCTACTTCAAGTAAAAAAATGTGCAAAATGTAGCATGCCAAAACTATATTCCTCGATGTTTCAAAACTATAATAGGGTTCAGCCCCACTTGCTATAATGAGAAATCTTTTCTTTAATGCACCGAATGTCCTCTCAATTACATTCCTTGGTGAGGAATGACAATGATTAAACAATTTTCAAGGAGTCATAGGACCTTTTTGCGCATACACTTAAGGTGGTACCTTACCCCCTGATATGGAGTTATAATTTGAGCATTTAACATAAATCCTGCGTCTCCCAAATAATATTTATCTACACAAAAGAACATTAATTAATAATTGTTATTAACTATTTACGTTAAGAAATAAATGTTGTTTTTGTCAAATGCTCCATATCTTCTGGTATGGACAGTGGATCCTCCCTTGTTAAGGCATCTTTTTAAATTCACGAGTTAGATGCAGTACTTTCCCACCCTGCTAGCATATATATGTGAATTTCATGTCAAAATCACACGTCGCAAACATATTTTGGGTTGGTCAATCTTTTCTACCACGAAAACGAGGGGCTTTCGATCATTGTACTTTGATGCAGACATGCATTCCATCAATCGACCAAGACAATCCTTAAAATAGGGATAAAATTAGGGATTGTTATAGATGTGTGCTTGCACATTTGTTCTTGATGATTGAACAAAAAATTCTTCCTTTAATTCAATTATCGCATTCTACATGTTATGAAAATGTCGACTCACTGTCTCACCCGATCTATGAAAGAAAAATGACATGGTAGGATTTTTAATATTGTGTCCTAAATATATGTAAAAAATTTGCAACTTGTTTTGCAACTATTAACCTAAACGCATCTTTCATGATGTTAGATGCTCTTGATCGATGACATAATTTGATGAAAGCGTGGGGTCCCAAGCGAATAATATCACGACATCGCTTCGAATGAACGAAATATGACATTATCTCACACTTACGACAATCTTTTTTAAGACCATGGAGATTAACGTTGTTGGTGTTGTTGGTAGACATGTGATCTAACATGTATAATGCAAAGGATACACTACATAACGTGTTTAGTGCCACAATGTTGACATTTTCTTATATTTGATCATGAGTCTGACATATTAAGTTCATATCCATTCCTAGTACGTTAGTACTTGTTGAATTATTGGCAAGCCTACCAAAATTATCAATCGCAGTATAGTATTTCGATTAAATAAAAGTCGATCTCACGAGGAACGGTTTCAATGGAAATACACAATTATATGTTTACTAAATATATTAAAACAGAATGGGTTTTGCATAAAGAGTTGAATTGAAATTAAATGACAAAGAACGGTAAATTATTGAGAAAATATCAATTAAAGGCACTTAGGATTGACTTCCTTCCTTATCCCTCTTTTGTAATGACTATGTCAATTAAGAACGTCAATTAACCTAAAAATGTTGATGTCACCTACTCAAATCATCCATGTTGATTCCTCACACATGAAATTCATAAGAAAATCTAATAAATGTTGATTCCTCACACAATTAAGAGATTTTCCAGCATTAGGTTTAGGGTGTTAAGCAATTGATATATTCATTCCATTCCTGACAATTAACGTAACAAATATTTTTACTGTGATCTAGGGTTCAAGATATATTTTCCAATCATACCCCAAACATCAAGAATAAATCATTCCAAAGTACAAAGGATAAGAATAACAACATCAAAACATAGATTAATATCTCAAAATATCACCATGATACAAAAGAGTTCAAAGGAAGTGCACCCAATCCCAAGAGAATGAAGTTAGTCACTCATGTTGGCCATTACAATACTCCAAATGTGGAAGAAGTGAAGAATTGATGAAGATTGGACGAAACCCTAGTAGTAGTCGCGCCTCTTCTCCTCCAAAACCGTTTGCTTTCTCAAAACACATCTTATCTTTTTATAAGAGAATTTGAGTCAGACCTCGCATCATTCATTCGCTTAAGTGTTCTTCTTTCTTTCAATTTTTCTCTAATTATGCTCCTTACTTTTGTATCAAGGTATTCTCGAATTCATTCTATATTGGGAGAAAAATAGATTAGAATTAATATAAGTTAAATTGGTTTCATAACAATTTAAGGCATAATTATATCAACTTTTTACCACTTAACAGTACTAAATTGTTCTTCTTCTGAATCCGTATATTCTTCGTTTCGATTTTCCATGGTCAAATATTAGCTTTTATGTAACACAAAAAAATAAAAACTTATTTTGTTTGACTTTATTATGTGGGTTGGAATTTATAATTTTTAGTAAATTTTTGAAAATTTGATTTCACATAACATATAATATTTAAATTTAAAAAATAAAACTAAAACATGCATATAACATGTGTAAAGTCATCCAAATTTTATCTGAATGGAAAATTACATTCATAACTAATAAAATTACAATCATAAAAACATGCAATTATCCAATTAATCATTACAATCATCCAAAAAAAATGATGATAAATAAATTACAAATTTCAAAAGTACCAAAAAATTACAATCATCCAAATCAGAAAAATAAACGACAATCATCCAAAAAAAACTTAAATAAAA